GATATCACTAAATTTAAAAAATTTTTTTTCTTCTTTGCACTTCAAAACACCTAAAGGTACCTCAGAAGTAGGGTTTGGTGATCTGGTTCTGAAAAAGGCACTGACAATCCCATAGAGTGCTCTTCTGATCTTCACATTTGAAGTCACCATAAGTCAGAATTGACTCAACAACATTTAATAATAATAGCATATAGTCTCAACCCAGGACATCAATTCAGGAAGCTCCCTTTTATACCAGTAGATGGATAATATTTACAGCAAAAGGCTCTTGTGCATAAGGACATCTTGCCCATTCTTTATAATATGTGCTAGTGATAAAGATGTCCAATATTTAGAAAATAAAATTGCATTCCAGACCTTATTCCTTTCCCATTTCTAATAGCCCCATTTTATCAATTGCAGTTATTTTCAATGCGCCTATCAAAAGTGAGTCAGCCATTACTCTGATTACAACTGGTTGTTTCAAATAATCATCTTTATTTTAACTGCATGCTGCAGTTGGTGATCCTTTGTATATTTCAAAGAAAAGAATAGAACTATGACTGAAAACAGACTGTAGAATGGAAGAATTTATACATTTAGACCAAGACTGTTTTGTTATCACCCTATTTTAGTATTTTCAGGCTCTGTATATCTTCAGTGGTTTCCTGTCTAGATAGGAACGTTAGACTCTGTATAATTTTTGCAAATGACATACAACTATAAAGCATTGGGACTATTTTAAATAAAGGCATGTTATTTATAATTTCTTTTTTAAAGTACTGTTGTTTCTCTATGTAGCTGTTTGGGGAAGCTATAAACTTATTTCTATGATGTCACTGTTCAGACATTTTAAAATTACTCACCAACATTAAAAATTCCAACTCCTTTACTCACAGATACAGATGCTTCCTAGGTGAGCACTTCTCTTGTTTATTGTATTTCCAGAGCTGTCACCAAGTGTAATCTGTGACTGTAGTTAAAAGGCTCGGCATTTGGCTGTCTAGAAGTCTGTAGCTTTTAAGGATTTCTACCTTTGGCCTTTGGAGGATCTATTGTTCTTTGTCAGTGGTTCTTTCCTTTTGTGCACTAAATGCTGTTTAAGCCTTGACTCCAGTTAAAGCCCTGACCCTGCTTTGTCATGAGTCCTTCTCTTGGCCAAGTCACCTTTTGGAGTGTGCCAGGTGAGCATGGTGGAATGAGGTAAAGCAGGTCTTCAGTGTCTGTCAGTGCTGTCATAGTTCCCTTTCTAAAGGAAGAAGCCAGCATCCCACCCATTTTGGGGCATGGCAGCTAATCCAGAAAAGGCTTCGGAAGGACAGGATGGGGTGGATGTGGGTGAAACCAGAGGATGGTTTCCTTTAGCTTATTTGTATCTGGCCCCACACTTTCCCAATCTTCCTGTCCTGCTTCCCAGGCACCATAGAACTTTCTTAGGCTGGGAAGAAATCACAAATGAACGTATTTGTCAAGTTAACTCAGCACTATTTCTGCTTACCTGTTTTACTAAGAGGAACATTTCTTGTCTTCTTCAAAACATCTTTGGATATAAGAAGAAATGGGAATGCCATGGCAAAACCCATTTCATAACTGTAGGAGACAAGCAAACAGACAACAAAAACAACCTGAACAAGGGTTAACCCTAGCAAAGGTGACGTGGTCTTGTCTTTTTTATTCCATTGTATTAAAGTCCATTCATCTAAGATTTAGCATTTCTTTTTCCTCAGAACTTAGTTAACTGTTAACTTACTTGGATCACAGACAGCTCTCTCAGGCAAAGAGAAAGCAATGAAATAACAAGTCAGGCACGAAGTGCACTTACATGTCTCACCATCCATGAAATAGATTCTGTTATGATCATTTTATAGATGAGCCTCAAGAATGATGCTTAGAAATTCCACTACTTGGAATACACCCTAAAGAAACTGAACTGCCATCCAAGCAGATATGTGCACAACCATGTTGTGGCTTTATTCACCATAGCAAAGAGCTGAAAACAACCCAAGTGCCCATCAACAAACAAATGGATAGAGAAGCTGTGGTATAGTCACACAATGGAATACTATGCAGCATTGAAAAACAAGGAACTCATGAAATATTATGCAAAATGGGTGACCCCGGAGGACATTATGCTGAGTGAAATATCTCAGTCACAAAAGGACAAATATTGCATAGGGCCACTACTGTAAAACAGGACTGACATTGGGATTGAGGGAAGAGAGAAAAGGAGGGGAGGAATGATGTATACTGCATTGAAACAGATGAGACAGAGAACTCTTTAAAAGGGATATATGATTGGGTATTATTGTCATGACAGGAGTCCAGAACGAAGGCTGCACAGTGGCGTGGACTTAGGGGGAGGGGGTGTATAACAATGAAAGAGTTTTTACTTTACTTTTCAAGGAGTAGAGTGAATTGGGGGGCAGAGATAAAAGTGCAACAATGGATGAATGGAAACCCTAAGTCTCTGTAAACGTTCATTAAAATTAATTAAAAGAAAGAATGCTGCTTAGACTCAAGCACAGAAGGACTCTGTCTTGTTTGCTTTCGAAAGAACAATTGCTAAGAAAGGACAGACATGAGGTGTGTGAAAGAGGAGCATCACTGAAAACAGCTGCAAGATGTGTTCAGTGGACCAATGGCAGTGAGATGGCCTCTGGCTCTGTTCTGCTGTACCTCATGTTGCCATGAGTTGGCGCCAACCAAACTGCAACTAATATGTATAGCTGACCCTGCCTATGTTGGGTTTTCACAGGAGACTGCCCATTCTTCCCCTGTGGAGCGGCTGGTGATCTCCAACCGCCTGCCTTTGGGGTTGCAGCACAGCTTCTTGCCACTAGGCCACCAGAGGTCAGTAGGAGCGTATGTCAGGAGAATGAGGCAGAGCACTATCAGTTTCAGGAGGGATCCTGATTTTTAGAGCTCGGATGGCAGAGAGTCATGGTTTAAACCCAGCTGGTGTCCAGAATGTGTGCTTTTAACTTATGCTACACTCAATATGCTTAAGAAAATTCAGGGGGTAAAATTCTTGCTTCTTTATATTAGTTTTTGACAAATTAGTACACTAAAGTGTAGTTTTGTTTTGCTTTGATCTAATGTCCAGTGCAAATGTGGGGAGTTAGTGAATATATAGAGCCTTCAAATTTACTTTTGTGATTTAGTCTAAGCAAAAAGCAGGGCTTATATGTTTAAGCAAGTTAGGTTCATAAACTTTTGTCACAACTACTGATGGTCTCTAATGGCAATGTAGCTTTATGTAGACTTTTTTGGGGGAGGAGAAAGAAAGGAAGTAAAACTGAAATATCAGCATAATCTGGAGTTGCTCAAGAAAGAAATGTGAGACAAGCATGATAGGACTTCGTTTCTAAATGTCAATATCCAACCTTGAAAGGAAATGAAGTACAGGCCTTGATTTTCAAGGCCATAAGTGATTTAGTCAGTGAGTCTCCAACAGTTCACACACTTTCCTATCCTCCTGTAATAATGTCTCCTTCTGAAGTCTTCAGAAGGACTTGAGTAGACTCCTTAGGTATTAAGTAGAAAGTGTTTAGAGTGACTCAGAACAAGAGTAGGAAATTTAATAAAGGTGGGTCAGAACATTACATCTGCAAATGTAATCACATTTCTAAGACCTGATGACTTAGGTCAAGTGTTGTAACTCAGGAAACGAAGACACCCTTGTGTGAATTCTTTTCGTTTTGCATTTTTCTTTGTTTCCACTCAATGTTCCATGCACCTGTTGCAGCAGTGTAAAACCAGTTTTAAATAATGGAAACAGAAAACAGCTGAGACTCAAAGAAATCGACAAGACACACAAATGAAAGAGATATTTAAAATGAGTATTTATTAAGTCACCTTGGAAACCATTCTCTGAAATGACTCTATTTAAATACATGAAAGGAATGGGCCAAAGCGAAAGTACTTCTTTCTGATAATAATTTTATTTAGTTCCTTATGTCTGCTTAGCTCTCAACACTGGTCTTTACCATCTTATGCAGCAGAGTTGTTAAAAATAAAATTTTAACACTGAAAGAACTCTGGAGACACAAGAACTGGAATAGAACAAACCAACCAACCTCAATAACGAAGAAAAGTGTCCATCTTTGACATAGATCACACTTATAAAATTAAAATTAAACTAATGTTTATTAATGTACTTGCACTATTGAATATTAGTATTTTACACTTCAATACATATGTGCATATATAATAAACAAGTAAAAAAGTAAAATTTAAATTATTTTTTATCTGTGAGAAAATATAAAATGTGACTTATACTTCAACTTCAGTGCTTCTTCAATACTCAGTATTTAAAAATATTGGGGAAAAAATCTTGAAATTTGTGCTGGTGGAAATATTAAAAGTGAAGGGGTTAAGGCAATAGTGAAAGTTTAATGTGATTTTTAAAAGAGGAGGATGGAGTAAGCATAAAAAGCAAAGGGTATACTTCCGGGCTGGGAATTCATAAAAAACCTCAAACAAAGAATTTGAATTGAAGATGTTAAAGTTTTTCTCAAGGTCACTAGAAATTGAACAGAACCAAGGAAGTTTTAAAAACCAAAGCCACACCAGTTTCCACTTAGAAGCCATCAATTCCTGGCAGCTCCATAACTGTTGGAGTCGAACTGTGCTCCATGGAGTTTTCTATTATATTTTTTTTCCAGAACCAAGTTGCCAGGCCTTTCTTCCACGGTGCCTAAGGTGAACTAAAACTCAACACACAGGTTAGCAGCCCAGATGCTAATTGTATGGACCACCCAAGGAATTCAAGGGGGCCTGAGGCTTGGGTCCATGAACTTAATCTTTGCTAATTGGTTCCGGTGGGAGGCCAGAGGGAGCAGTACTGGTAACCCACAGGTGACACCTCTCCGGAGGTTCGAATCCACTAGTGAGTGGTTCTGTGGGATAAAGGTAGGCAAACTGGAGTTTGTCCTTATTGAAGAAACACCTACAACCTCCGCATCTTTCTCTCCATTTCTCTGGACTGCCCAAAGCCAGAAGCCATCGAACGGCACCCTTTCCACTCGTGCTTGCCGCGGGTTTTAGGGCTGGGGTGGCCCCGGCCCGCGCTAGTCGAGGCACGGGCAGCAGAAGCAGCAGATGGCCCGGCAGGGGTTCTTCTTCTTGTACTGCACCGCCTTGCGCACATGCGCCTTGGCCTCGCCTGTGTAGTCGAGGGTCTGGAGCACGTTGAGCTCGATGACGTTGAGCGTGTCGGCCTGCTCCTCCACCAGCGTGGCCATCTGCAGGAAGAGCTCGTGCACGTCGCGGATGCGGCTCTCCAGGCGCAGCAGCTCGCGGTGGCGGCTCTCGATCTCGTTGAGCGCCGCGCGCGCGCCCTTCACGTCGGCCAGCAGGTTCTCGGAGAACACGTCCCACTTGCCCTGCTCGAACATGTCCTCAATCTGGTCGCCCGACACGTCCTTGCCCATGATCTCGAGCTGGCGCTGGATGCGGATCTTGCAGTTGGCGCGCTGCTTCATCTCGGCCTGGTTGTACTCGTGCATGGCGCTCTGGAAGGCGCGGGTGAGCGCGCTGTACTGCGCCCGCGCGATGCGCGCCACAGCCGAGTTGGCGCCGTGCTGGGCCTCTGCCGCCTCGCTCAGCGCTTTCATGGAGCGCAGCTTGCGGTGGATGGCCTCGCCCCGCGCCTTGATGTCCTTGGCGATGGAGTTGGTGTCGCGCTTGATGCTGCTGAGGCGCCGCATGGACGTGAGGAAGCGGGTGTTCTGCTTCCCCAGCCGCTTCACGTCGGCCATCAGGTGGTGGTTTTCAGTCTGCAACTCCTGGATGTCCCGGTACAAGGACTCCAGCAGGTGGTCCGTCTCAAACACGATGTCCTCATGGGGCGAGTCAATGTCATCGTCTCCATCCGGGAACTGCCGGTCATAGTGTTTAGAATACTCCAGAAGTTCTCCTAGCCGGTCCTTCATTTTGCCTGCAAGTAGAGATAACTGAGTTATATTCTATTTATTTTTTAAATTTTATTTTATTTGTGTGTGTGTGTGTGTACCGTCAAATCAGATCTGACTGGTACAGGAGGAAATTGTTCCTCCTTCTCCACCAGAGCATCTGGTGGATTTGAACCGCATACCTCTGGGATTACAGTGCAGCTTCTTGTACAGGTTATATTCTTAATACTGAGTTTCAAGTATCTACTTTCAGGGGATCGAATCAAATAAACATTCTGCTTTGTGTTTGGAATTTGTTATCCCTGGGTGTGGGTTACAAGTGCATGGAAGAAGCTAAAAAGACTATACTTCTGTATTCACCTGTAAGGAATGACAGAACGGAAGCCATGGTGACAGCCATACTTTATGCCTAGAGGTGTTCGTTCAGTACTGTTGTTGTAAGGAGCCATCAAAACAACGTTGTAAACAGTGAATCTGAACCTTCCTGTCCTGTGCCACCCTCATCATCATTGAGCCTGTTTCAGTCACTGTGTCAGTCTATCTCGTTGAGGGTCTTCCATCTTTCCAAGCACAAGGATCCTGCCCTTCCTAACAACAAACCCAAATAAATGAGAGGAAGCGCCATCATCCTTGCCTCCAACAGCGCCCAGAACTCAATCAGTTATTTAACATTTTAGATTGGAGAGCGGCCTTTTTGTTACATTAAGTTTAATAATAACAAGAAATGTAGGCAATGAAAATTAAAAGCAAAGGAGAAAACACTTGCAAAGGTTGGAATAGGCCTGTTAGAAGCATTCAGGACACCAGGTACATACTTCAGCTCAGCACCAGTATCTTCAGTCTTCTTCTTAATAATAACTTTTAAAAGTTACCATATAAATCATAGTCTGGGTGGAGGGTCAGAGAAAAGAGGAAGACCCTCAATATGCTGGATTGACGCAGTGGCTATGACAATGGACTTGACCATGACAGTTCATGACGATGGTGCAAGGTTTCATATCTGTTCATCTGAACCATGGTCTACTCAACAGCACTTAATGATAACAACAGCTTCATTTGTGTCTTAAATTGTTTAAATAATGTTTAAAAAACAACCATGTTTGAAATAAAACAAAGATAAAAATTAAGGGGTATGTCTATCTGTGTTTCATTGACTATACAAAGGTGTCTGGGTGGAGCACAACAAACTGTGGCTGACTGGGAAGAATGGGAATGCCAGAACATCTGATTGTGCTTATGCGAAACCTATACATGGACCAGGAGGAAGGCATCAGAACAGAACAAGGAAACACTGCATGGTTCAAAATTGAGAAGGGTGTATACCAGGGATGGGTCCTGTCTCCATACATTTTTAATCTACATGTGGAACAGATCATTTGGAAGGCTGGGCTTTATGAGGAGGAATGTGGCATCAGGATTGGAGGAAGACTCATCAACTACCTACGTTATGCAGATGACACAAACTTGCTTGCAGAAACTGAGGAGGACCTGAAACATTTCCCGCAGAAAGTCAAGGACTGTAGTCTTCAATATGGATTTAAACTCAACATCAAGCAAACAAAGATTCTCACTACTGGGCTAGCTGGTGGCACCATGATAGCTGGAGAAGAGACTGAGGTTGTTAACAATTTCAGCTTGCTTGGCTCCACAACCAACACTCTTGGCACCTGCAGTCAAGGAAAAGCTGAGGAAAGCTGTTCTCAGGTACCTCGCAAAAGTTCTGAAGAGGAATTATATCAGTCTAATTCAGCCTGATTCAGGTCATGGTCTTTGTAATTACTTGCTATGCATCACTGGCCAATGATGACAGAAGAATTGATGCCTTTGAGCTGTGGTGCTGGAGAAGAGTATTGAACATACCATGGACCACCAAGAAAACAAACAGGTCTGTCCTGGAAAGGATGAAACCAGTTTGCTTCTTGGGGGCAAGGATTGAAGCTCTGTCTCACGTACTGTGGGGCATGTCTCCAGGTCCTTGGAGAAGGACATCATGCTTAGAAAGGTGGAGGGACAGCACAGGGGAGGAAGACCCAGATGAGATGGATTGATACAGTAACTAGGGCAATGGGGCTAGGTGCGTAGAAGTCAGTAAGACGGGCTCTGGGCAGGGCAGGGTTCAGAGCTGTTATACACAGAGTCAATCTATAAGTCACCTGGCACATAACAACATCAAAACACCTGAAAGTTGGACTATGAGTAAAGACTGGGGTGAGGAAAATCAATGTCTTTGAGTTGTGGTACTGGAGAAGAGTACTGAAGAGTGCTTGGGGCACAAATGGACTGTCAAAAGGACAACAAACAAGTTTGTCCTGGAGAAAGTAAAACCAGGGTACTTCTTAGAGGCAAGGATAGGGAAACTTCCTCTCACCTACTTGGGGCATGCTGTCAGGAGGGCCAGTCCGTGAAAAGGGCAGCACACTTGGAAAGGTGGAGGGTCAGAGAAAGAGAAGAAAACTCTCAACAAGATAAACTAACACAGTGACTGTAACAATGGGCTTGGGCAGATTAGCCTTGGTGTGGATAGTACAGGATAAGGCAAGGTCCTGGTCTTTTATCATAGGCTCACTATGAGTCAGACTCTTCGATGGAATTTAACAACTGTATTTTTTTTTAAAATGTATCTGAAAATTTTCAGACATACATAATAAGCCTAGTAGCCATAATATCTCAAACTTCCCATGTGGTGATTCACTCACCACGTGGCATTTGTCATGTTTTTGAAACAAACTCGCAGCTCAAGAATCTTCCCATTTTTATAAAAGTGATTCTGAAGGGAGCTCTAGTGGCCTAGTGGCAAGAAGCTGCACTGCCATCCCAGAGGTATATAGTTTGAATCCACCAGTTGCTTTCCTGGAGAAGGAGGGACAATCTCCTCCTGTACCAGTCAGATCTGATTTGACAGTACACACACAAAAATAATAAAAGTTATTCTGATCCATTTTTTTTTTTTGCTTGACAGAGTAAACTAATGATCTCTTTTCTTCTCTGTATTTTTTCCCCAGTGAAGTGAAAAGTTTTCATTTATTTTGGTGTGCACTTATGACAAAATATTGACCGTTTTGCCCTTACATGAGGCTGTGGCTAGAAAGAGTCATTACGATTTAATTTGTAGATAAAAGCAAATGGGGGAGCAGCGGCACTTAATGGCTACTGAGGGATCAGGAATCTGGATCTCAAAAGTTTCTCTGAAGTTAAAATTATTAAAATGTATTTAATGATTAATGCTAAAATAGTCACCATGCTCTCATCTGCCATGACCATTATTTATACAAATTAAGCAGAAGTCTCATTCCATGATGCCAGTTTTTACTATGACAAGTTATCCAACTGAAAATGCCACTTTTCCTTTAAGTTGCAAACCAAGTCAACACCAGGTCCTCTGAACAATGAAGGTCATTATCTTTGCAGTGAGACTAACAGGCAGGGGGGAAAATACCAGCTCTTCCTGGGCCTGTAGCTCTTAATATTTAAATATTTACCCACTTTGACACAAATTGGAGAGCAACTGTAATTGTGGCGGGTAACTGACTAACATTTTGAACATAAATTCTCATCCCCTCCCAAGCCCTTATCATGAACATGCCACTCTCCTAAACAAATTTAAAGGAGTTAATATATAAACAAATTAAAATGTTAGGGAGCTCTGGTGGCCTAGTGGCAAGAAGTTGTACTGCAATCCCAGAGGTAAGCAATTCTAATCCACCAGATGCTCTGCTGGAGAAGGAGGGGCAATCTCCTGTATCAGTCAGAGCTGATTTGACGGTACACACACACACACACAAAATAATATTTTTTTTTAATCCTTAATAAAAAAACCAAGGAAATAAAAATGTCAAAGAACATGGTAAGTAACTAATAGGTTATGTAGGGAGTCCTGGTGTCAGAGTGGATTAAGCTGTAGGCTGATAAACAGAAGGCTGGTGGTTCAGATCTACCAGCTGTTCCACAGGAGAATGCTGAGGCATAGCTAATTTCCTAAGGATTTTTTACAACTTTGGGAATCATGGAGTGCTACGGTGTTGTGGAATCACTATGAGTCAGACTCAACTTGATGTCATTAATATATATAATGTGTGAGGTGCTTATGGGAGCCAAGAGCAGAGTACCCCCTAAACGAGATAAGCATGGGCTAACTTACTGATGTGTACCTTCATTACATCATGTGGAACTTCTCACTATGGATCAGTAAACAAGTCCAAGTGACAGGTCTCCAGGAAAGTGCAGGCAGAGTGTTCCTTGGAGACAAAGAAGGTGAAGCGTCGTCTCAACACATTTTGGATGTGTTGTTTGTTACTGTTGTTGTCTTGTACCATCGAGTCAAGTTGACTGCGACTCATAGCAACCCTATGAACAGTAGCTCTGAACCTTGCCCTGTCCTGGGCCTGCCTCACTGCCACCGATGCACCTGTCGCCGTTGCCACAGTCACTGTGTCAATCCATTTCACTGAGGGTCTTCCTCTCCTGCACTGATACTCGACCCTTCCAACCATGATGTCCTTTTCCAAGGACTAGTCCCTCCTGGAAACATACCCAAAGTATATAAAACAAAGCTTCAAAATCCTTGCCTTGGAGAAGCAACCTGGTTTTACACTCTCGAGGACAGACCTGTTTGTTCTCTTGACAGTCCAAGGTATGTTCACAACTGTTTTCTAGCATCACAAGTCGAAGGCATCAATTCTTCTTCTGTCATCCTTAGTTACTGTCCAGCTCTCAGATTTATAGCAAGCAACTGAGAAACCCATGGCCTGGATCATGGAGTACCTTAATATCTAGACTGACATCATTGCTCTTTTAGCACTCTGGAGAGGTCCCTGACAGCAGACTTTCCCAAAGTAACTTGTGTTTTGATTTCCTGCTGCTGGTGCCAAAGAGTGTTGATTGTGGATCTGAGTGAGGTGAAATTATTAATAACCTCAATCTTTTCTCCATTTATTATGCTACTGCCTACTGACACAGTGGTGAGAATATTTTTTTTTTTTATGTTGAGATGCAATCCATATTGGAGTGTGCAGTCCTTGACTTT